ATGATTTTTCAGTTGTAGGGCCCTGTACCCTTAGGGAATCATCTGTCAGTAGCAAAATACTTGTCCTGATAGTCTGACAAGCCAGTGTGGTTTGAAACGGCAAGCTGGGAAGCTGAGACAATATGCTGACTTTGATGTAAGCTAAGCATAGCATGAAAATAGCATTTCTTCTGTCCTTAGTATGATACAAATAAACAGTTGTTTGGAAACTAAATGTGACATACATTTTCTGTACTGATTTTCACAAGTTCCTTTTTTTTTAAACAAACTAAATCTGTCTGCAACACTGTATCTGAAAATTCAGAATGTTTCTTGTTTTAAATGGGGAGGAGCAGGTTTGTCTGTGCTTACTAAAAGTTTCTTGCTAAAACTTCTTTAATGTCTTCTCTTTTTTTTTTTTTATTTCCCTTCCAGTACATGGAGAAGGAAGATGCAGTTAACGTATTGCAGTTTTGGTTGGCAGCAGATAACTTCCAGTCTCAACTTGCTGCCAAAAAAGGCCAGTATGATGGGCAAGAAGCACAGAATGATGCCATGATTTTATATGACAAGTGAGGGAGTTCAACAATTACTTCTTTCTGAAGTTCTAATTTTGTGCTTGTACTTCTGTGTTGCACTGTGCAAAAGGAACTTTTCATTTGTAAACCATACTGTGCAGTCTTGCACTGCTATGCTGAAATGCATTTTATTAAGGGGGCCTTCGATGTGTATGCACACAAGAACTTTTAAAAACTTTCTTTATACATGAGGAGAAAATCCTTACAAGGACTCCATTCTTAAACACAATTCAGAATTTTCAGGACTTGATTTCTTGAGTTAATGTTTGGTCATGAAATATCAAAGCCAGTTAGCTGCTGTTTGAAAATGTAAAGGATTTAAACCTAATAGCAGATGCATCACTGTAGAAAAACCTTAAGGTTCAGATACTGCTACTGATTTAAAGTAGGCTGTATGAGATGTTATCACACATAGTAAGAGCCAAGTAGCACTTGTTCTTAATATTTCAAAAAACTCCTTTTCTAAGTGACCAGATCCCTTTTAATGTCAGACTTTTCCTCTCAGTAGTGTAACTTTTTTCCTTTATTTTGTGCTTCACCTTAGCAATAATGCAGCTGGAAGACAGACATCAAAACTGCTTCCGGGAAAAGTTTGTTCTTAAGCTTAAGTGTGAGGCTCACTGCCACAAGTTTTTTGAGTTGCTACCCTAGTAGGAAATAATTGGAGAAGAAGCAAAACAATTCACTCTGACTTTCATCAGCCATTCCCCAGCTTTGTCCACAAACTCAGTTTTCAGTGATGTGAATAGTAGAGCAAATGCGGCTTCAGAGTTCTGGATGTTTCCTCTGCTTCACTCCTGCTTCCCTGCTACAAAGCTGTTTGTGCAAGATTCTGCTCTTCAGTAGCCATATGATGCTCTGTTTCTTGTATCTGTGTCTTCGGGGCAAGGCTTTATCAAAAAATTTTTGTGAATTGGGGATTTTTTTCCCCCCTGCGTTTCAGCGAGGATCAGTTGTATGTACGTTTTTGAAGCCAGCACCATCTAGTGGCTACAGCATGATTAATGGTCTTCGGTGAAAGGGTGGGTACTAACCACCTGCAAAGTTTTGCAAATCCTTCTGTGTTGTCTTCTTCCCCTGTCCGGTGCTGCAGGTACTTCTCCCTTCAAGCCACGCATCCTCTTGGGTTTGACGACTCGGTGAGGTTAGAGATTGAATCCAACATCTGCAGGGAAGGTGGTCCTCTCCCTAACTGTTTCACTACTCCCTTACGGCAGGCGTGGACTACCATGGAGACGGTGAGATACCTTCTTCAGAACAGTTTTGACAGGTAGTAAAGGTGATGTGGAGATTTTGCAGTGTGTCAAGTGTTCCCTTCAGCACCTCTGAATTGTCCTGTTCTTTTACTGACTGCCTGTTTACCTGGATAATAGAATTTACTAGACTGTTTTCCCCAGCCTGGTTTGAAAAGATACCACCCACTGGCTTCTGCTAATTCTCTGTGAAATGCTTGTCTTGGGTGATTATTGCATTTTAATGGAAGTAACAGAATTTCCTCCCATGTGAATTCCTATCAACAGCTTATTATATATCTAGAACATTTTCCTTCCTGCTAGTAGCAGTTGCTTGCAAGTCTAATACCAGTAGTGTGGCTAATAGTGTAACTTTGGGATACCTGGATAGTAGAGATTAATGATTTGATTCTGGAGCTGCTTGCTGATCTTTGAACAGCACAGCAAAATAACTGTAAGCCTATACAGGTCAGGCCTTTCTAGCCGGGGAGAAAAAAAATCTGAACTTTAGTTCCAGTTACTGGAGGATTTGGTTAATACATAGTTATTTTTGTTCATTTTGCAGTAAGATTCAAATTTAAAGCAGTGCAATCACTAATCTGGAACGATTCTATGTGTGGCCACTTTCACTTGTGTACCATCTACACAAGGACTGAGGTGTTTGTACGTCCCTTCTGTTCTGCAAATGATCTACAGTAATTGTGCAGACCAGCCTTGACTAAAGAGCCTTCCTCTGTTTCTCAGGTTTTCTTACCTGGTTTCTTGTCCAGCAACCTTTACTACAAATACTTGAATGATCTCATCCATTCAGTACGAGGAGATGATTTTCCAGGAGGGAATATTGCACTGAGTATTCATGGCCCCAGTAACTCTCCTGAGAGCGATTCTATAGGGGGCCCAGATGGCTCTGCCTCCCAGGTATGAGTTTTGTGGTTTGATTCTGTTCTGGGAATTGCTGCAATCACTTTTCTGCACCAGTATCCAAGTTCCTATGCTGTAAGGAAACATCTTGTAGTTTGAAGCTTCCCACTCGGCTTTAACATTAAAGCCTGTGTTATATTAAGACATGTTTAGTCTACCTGCTAAGTTCAAACAAACAGTATTGACATGGAAGGATATCTATCACATTTGTTGTACCCAAAGCCTTGTACTGCTTTTAGTTCTTTGCATCAAAGTCACATTATTATTAAGCTGTTAATATTCACTGAAGACCGTTTCATAGTGCTGTAACATTTAAGAATGCTTTTTATTAAAAATAACTTTTTTAACAATACCATAGTTATAACTTTAGGCAGAAATTGACACTTGTGAATATGCTGTAGAATTTAAACATAAATATGCAAGTTTTGTGTGCTCAGTTCTATTAAAGTGCCAGATCTTCTGTCCTGAAGAGCCTACTCAATTCTAGGGTTTAAGGCATCTATCTACTCAAACGTAGAGCAATGACAGTTAATATCTGACCGGGTGGTGTTCACTAGTTTGTCTCAGTAGACTTTTCCCTACTACCATCCTCAAGCTAGCTAGTTGTGCTGGTCTGATAGAAAACGGCCAGACTCCTGACCTTTCCAAATGAGAGCTCTGACACTTTACTATATTACCACCGAGATGCTCTGAGCTGGGGGGTAATACCTGAATTTTGCTTGCATGTATATAGTTTGATGTAAAGCTGGGCATAAAAAAAGTCCATTGGTGGGTAAGGCATTCTAAGCATTCTTTAAGCATGATTAGAGTTATGTGGCTGCTTCTTCGCTGTGCTGCATAGAAACGAGAATGTGACTGGGCTCCTTCGGCTCTGTTACCCTTCCAAAGTCATTGAGAAATGTCCACTGCGTATTTGCTTTGCGCGGCGCCCTGGTTGCAGGCCAGCATCTGTCTTTTTCATTGCCTTTCGTGGTGCCGCTTTCTGAGCGCTGTGTTCCCACGTGGGCCTGGCCTCAGAAATGGGCAGTGGAGCTTGTTACACGCTGAACCCATCCCAGTAACCTCAGAGATGTGTCTTTAACCAAGAGTTCTGTGTTCCAAGAATTCTAGCTTTGCTTAATTCAGACATGAGAGAAGAGAGGATAAGCAGATTCTAGCTTATCTGTAACCAGGTCAGCTTGCAAACTGCAAGCCCAGCTGGGAGCAGAAAAGCTAAGCTAGAACTGCTTTTGCTGAATTGCTTTCATTGAATGCTGCAGTGCTACCATGGGTTTTAAATCCAGTAGCTAGACCAACATTATTGATGTACAGTGTTTCAAGTAACTTGGAAGCTATACTACCTGCGGTAATATTTTTAATCATCCTTAACTTGCAAGGAGGGAATATTCACCCCTAGCTGCAAAGTGAGGAATAAAGTCTGCGTTCCAACCGTCTTGAAATATCCTGCTGCCTGATAGTCTGAGCGGGAGAAACTGCTGGTAATTGGCTTGCTTGGACAATTTAGGAATGAATTGCTGCATTTTGTAGGGTGCATTCCTGCTTATCTGAATAGGAGAATCTCTGGGTCTCTGCATATTTTTGCATAAAGAACAGTGCTTACGCAGAGCAGCAGGAAAGGAGTTTGCAAAGCAGCTGCTGTGAACGCTTCTGTTCTGTGTTAAGGTGGTAATAGCTTGCTGTGTGTTTGTGTTCTCCCTGCTGTTGCTGTAACGTTTCCTTGGCTTTTTTCATCATCTTATATAAATACTCCAGGCCAAAAAGAAAAATGTTTGTTCTCTTTGTCTGGGGGAAGTATAGTGTGTTTGGGAACTGCTTACCAAGTGCATGAGAGGGATGAGTGGAACTGCTGCAGCTTTTGAGGTAGTAGTTCAGTGTTACGTACTCACAAACAAATAATTTGCGTGCACACACAGATCTGTTCAGTTGATAATGCTTAGACAGCAGTCCTTACACGTACATATGCTGACCTGTACATTGTGTTTTTGGCTCTGTTCATATAACTTTATCATCCTCTGTTTAAAAACAATGTCATACTGAGTTAGGAATTCATCGCTGTGTAGATGCTCTCTAATTCTTTTATGCTTGCTTAGAGACTTTATGGAGGTTTATCTAAGTGTAAAAGCACTAAAATAGCAGTTTTGTTAAGAAGCTATTAGTTGTCTGCATTGGGCACTAATACTTAGAATTTTTATTTGTAGTCCAATGTCAAAAAGGCTAATGTTAAAATCCTGAAAAATTTTGATGAAGCAATAATTGTAGATGCTGCGAGTCTGGATCCAGAATCTTTATATCAACGAACATATGCAGGGTAAGGTTCATTCAGTGTACCTCATTCTTTCTAGTTACATTTCACCTCTGTTTCGTTTTTGCTGTGTCCTCCTGCATTGAGAGTATGCCTAAATGCAACATGTCGCAATCTTAGTATGTCTTAATATTTGAACTTAAATTTCAGTAGTGTGATTTAACACCAATGTCATAGTGAATGTTTCTCTGATTAGAATGGCAGCCAGAAAAATACTTGCAATTGTTTTTTCTTTCTCCTAGTTATTATTCCCCTTTGACTCCAAAATACAGCTCCGTAGTTCCTATTTGGGGTTGGAACAGGCTAGAATAAGCTCAGGTGCCTTTGATATTGTAAGGTGCAACTTTGAAGGATTTATACTTCATTTCTTTAGCAGATTGCACAGCTATTCTTCTGTTTCTTAAGTTGCTCTTTATTATAAAACTCTTCTGCTCCGTGGATCTCATACAGAAATTGTTTGTTTCTATAGCTAGATTGCTTTTCTCTTGCATACCAGTCTTCTGTCCTTCTAGGTACTGTAAACTGTTTTCTCCCTAATGACGTGTTTTTACGATAGTGTAGAGCACTTGCTAGCACTGCCTGCTGATAATACATGATTGAGTCATTCAAGCATTTGCCTGCTTCTAGTTTCTAGAAGAATTTCGAAGATACACTTTGAATTCAGGTACTTGAGAAGAGCGGGAGATTTTTCCCAGTGTATCATTTTTAGGTGGAAAAGGTGGTAATTGGTAAAATGCCAGTCTTCTGACACTGGAGTCTTTATTGTGGTAGCTTTTTTTTTGTTTTCCTGACTGGTAACTTTCCATAGCATCAAAATTCTGTTGGTAACCTGTGTGGTTCTTTTACTCCTTCTCTCTTCAGGAAGATGACGTTTGGACGAGTCAGTGACCTGGGACAGTTTATCAGAGAATCTGAACCAGAGCCTGATGTCAAAAAATCAAAAGGTTTGCTTTCATCTTTCTCTCCATTTCTGTAAACATCTGCAGAACTGCTCTTTTCCTTACTGCAGTCAAGATAAGCAAGATTCTTGACTCTTTCCAGATCTGTTTTAAGCTAAATAGAGGTGCGATGGGGATCGTCCTATACTGAGACAAAACCCATCTCTGGCCCAGTTTCCTAGCCAAATTCTGCTTTTTCTGGTCCAGCTGGACTCCTGGGAATATGAGCAGCCTGTGGGAGTTGGAGCTGTCAATGGAACCTGGCAGGGATGAAAGCCGCTAGCAGCTGAGCTGGGGATCAAACCTTCAAAGATTTGGTCTCAGGATGAAAAGGAACTTCAGCTCTCCACATGCTTCCCACACAGTTTGGGATCTGCTGTTAATGCTGCTTTTCAGCTCTGGTAAAGAGGAATGGTTCAGGCTCAGTGTCTAACGAACCATGGCTCCATGTAATCCCTTGTCTTCCGTACCACTGCCGTGTTCTCTAATGCCAGCAGTGCCAACCCTTCAGAGGGATGGAGGGAGTTAGCTTTTACAGAGGTGTGCCACACAGTTTGCTAATATACCTTGCTTGCTGTTTTTTATCTCAATTAGGGTCCATGTTTTCACAAGCAATGAAGAAATGGGTTCAAGGAAACACAGATGAGGTGTGTCCTCTTTTATGTTGTCCTTGTGACTTACTGTACAGTAGTAAAAGTGTAGATTGGGGAAATGAAGTATTGAAGTTCTTAATCCCAGCTGTTTCTCTGAGTATCTTTCTTGATGCACCAACAAGAGCTGTCAGACTCTGTGTGCTAAATATAGTTGAATTGCGTGCTTGTGTGAAACTAGTTTGATTTTTGCCAGTGCTTGCTGTTTTAACTAATACACTGGTTAACTGTGTGCTTGCAGTCAAGACTTTTCCTATTACGGTGTTACAAGATCTATCCACAAATAGGAGTGGAGATGCTGTTGCTCTTTGTTTTTTATTGTGAAGTGGTCACTACATGGATTACAGGCTGTGTTTTTCCCCCTCCGAGGGGCTTGGACAAGTCCCCAACAGATAAGTCTAAAAACTTCACTAATTCTCTTGGAAATTGCATCAAGCTGTAAATATTAACAATAATTGAAGTTCATGCTGTACTTGGAAACCAGGTGCATTTCCATTGAGGGAGGATATGTTTACTACAAGTCAGTGAGTTGTGAAGGTTAACTGCATCTCCAAGGTTGAGCATGTGAATTATGCTGAGAAAACTGTATTCTTATTTTAAGAACTCAAACTATCTGTGTTTGGGGATTTTTTTTTTTCTATGGCAGGCTCAAGAAGAGATGGCTTGGAGGATAGCAAAGATGATAGTCAATGACGTTATGCAGCAGGCGCAATGTGAACAGCCTTCGGAGAAGGTTATGAAGGTAAGGGGGTGGAAAGGCAGTGTGTTTTTATCTGACTTAAGCCAGGCTGTGGGAGGAGCAGAGTTCTTGCTTGCCTCCTAGTGTATCTGAAACCCACACGGGTAAATGTTCAAACAAGCATAGCATGATAGGAAGAAACAAAGGTTGAAAGCATTTCAGCCTACATATGATGATGTAGGAATTTCTTAACAGATACCAGTAGTGGTTCTCCTGTGCAAGCGTTAAAATTGTCTGCGTTCATTTTGAGTCTTTACAAACTGCCTTATTAGTTAAGAGTGATTTGTGTTGCAGGATCAATACTGTAATTCCTTATTTGAGTTCAGTCTTGCTGTTTCATGTTAATGAATGCTGGTATATTTACCTGAAGTGTCAGTAAAACTCAACAACTGGTAAGCTGCCTTGTTGGGTGCACTAATTTACGCAGTGCTGTGTCTGCCCTTTGAAAAAGACACAGGAGCCCTGTCCAGAGGCCAGTGGTTTAGTGTTGTGTGGTGTTGTTGTTGTTGTTGTCCAAATCAATGTGTTCTGGTTTTTTTTAAAAAAAAAAAACAAACAGTTCTGATGCAAGGTTTAGGTTTTGTGAAATGATGACGACAGCAGTTTACCAAGTTAATATCTGGTACTTCTGGCTTTCAGGCATCTGACTATTTTTAAAAATTAACTTGCACTATTTTTAATTATTGAAGGTAAACATGTGCCAAAGCCCAGTTATTAGACCCGAATGGATGGATCCATAGTTTCACTATGTGGCTGTTTTCTTTTTAATAGAGCAGTTAAATTTAAATGTTTTGTATAATGATTTCACTTGATAGCTTGGCTGCAAATGATACAATTCCAGCCTGGCTAGATGAAAAGGTCACTCAGCACAGTATTTAGAAATATCAAGTGGCTGCAGATGCTCTGGATTCAATTAAGCAAGTATGGTTATAGTAATTGGAAGGTTGAGTGTGTGTGAGATTAGAGTGGTTTGGTTTTTTCCTCTCCCAAACTCATAAGCATACCTGGCTTCAACATTTTTAAACACAAAATGTCTTTCTGTTGAGCAATTGCATTGTATGTTTTAGGGTAAAACAAACTCTAACCCTGTCTTTCCTTTTCTAGCTATGATTTTAGAAATGCCGGAACAGGAAATCTGGTTTTCCACTTTGAGAATGAGTGAACTTTCCTTTTGGTGGATTCTTTTAACACAGCCAATAAAAACAAAGCACTGTTACTCCAACCACCGAAATCTCCCTCGTTTGTAAGGAAGAATTAAAAAGAAGCAATCCTGTACCTCCACTGTAGAGCGCGAGGAAACACTTTTTCCTGTTGTATGTGGCATTCACAGTAAGGAAGGTTTTTAAAGAGATGAAGACGCAGTTTATGAATGTGTCACTGAGAAACTGTAACTTCACAAATACTTGACCCTGTCTCAAAAAGACTTTTAAGTAAGATATCTGGAACGGGACACAGGCCACAACAGAGGGGAAGGTTTTGCTGTAGTTTCTAGTTCTACTACTTGTAGTTTTTAAATACATAATTGGAAAGGCCACGGGGTGTGTGCCCAACATTGGCCACTGGAGAAGTGAACCTGAAACGGTGAATTCATTGGCAGTGAATGACCTAAAAAGTTTTAAGTTATATTTTTCCTTACTTGAAATAGATGCATATTCAACTGTAAGATAAATGTATTTTACTTCATAACTACATTAACCTTGAAGGCAGCATTGAATGGTCAGGAGTGAAGCCTGAACAGTGTAACTCTTCCTTGTCGAGCTCCTAACACCTGCATACACAAACTCCTGCTTCCACCGCAGAGCAGACTCAAAAGCCAATCTTGTACTTGTGCCACTCTCTGCTCCCGAGCCCTGGCTCCGAATGCAGCCCAGGTTTTGAGGAGATTGTGCTCCATAGACCACTCCATTTTCTTTCCATCCCATGAGCAAGGAAAAAAGTTATAGCTGCCATGTGTTGCTGCCATTCTCCATCGCTTGTTGTCCTCCAGCCGACATAGTATCTAATTCCGGATGTTTGGTTTACAAAGAAAAATAATTTTTAATGACCTCGTCAATACTTGCAACTTGCAAAACCCTTAGTTTAAGTAAAAAAAGCCACTGTGTTACACAGCACCTCTATTCCCCTCCCCCCCAGTGAATTGATTTTGCAGGATATCAAAAGTACTCAGTATGTCACTGTTATGTCATCGCTGCATTTTTAGTATACAACACTTATATTTTGGGTTTTTTACTTTATTCTTATGATTGCTTTTTTCCTCAAACTTTGAAGAACTCAAATCATCTCCAATGTTCAGAATATCTTGATTGACTAGCAAGTGTTATTCAGTTGCAATATTTGATTGTAGAGAGACACACTGTCTTGTCTATAAAAAAGCAAAAAAGGCTGTGTATAGGTTTTTGGTACTATGTACCACCTCTTATTTCTCTCATGCCCAAGTATTCATGTACTTAAAACATACTATATTTAATTGTGTTTTGATTTAAATATATAAATATTAAAATTGTCAGTTTTCTGTTTTGATGGGATTGAGTTTACATGTTTGGTTTTTTAAATGTGAGTCTTGGGGGTTTATAAAGAAGCAAACCCCTGAACAGTTTGTCCTTGGTACATTTGCACTGATTTCTGAATACTTAATGGATAATGTTAATAGCGGTGTGGTGGAATAATTTCTATCTAAATACTAAACAAGGTGTTTTAATCACAGGACATGTCAGAAGTTGGGCTAGAAAATGGGTAGAAGGGGCAGGGCTTAGTCCTGTAGCAGTGTTGAACTACGCACGCATACTTGAATCCTCTTCCATGCGGGAAAGCTAAACCCCTCACCCCTTCTGCATGCAACCCTTACTCATTTTTCCACCTTGGCAGGATCCAAACTAACCAGCTGAGCGTGTTTAGAGATTGCAGGCTGCCAGTTTGGGCACAAATACTGCGCAGGGCTGCGTTTCTTTCAGCTGCTGCGCTGCCTGGGGTGGATGTGGCCAGATGCGAGTACAGGAGGCTCGGTAGCCAAGACCTGTAGTGCCGCAGCTCCTGGAGGCTGATAAGAAAAACATCCATCAAAAAAAGAAGGGGAAATCCCTGCTGCCTTGTTCACAGGCCCTCTCCCCACTCTTCGAGAGGAAGGCAGTGTGCCAGGGGCTGTGACGGACCGGCCAAGTGCCTACTAGGGGCAACTTCTTAAAGCTTCTTTGCTTCAATGGTGGCCAATGGGTGAAGCAACACTTGGTGGTTGATTTAGACCTACCTGCCACTTTTTCCTCTTCCCTCTGTAAGTGATGCTTAGATCTGATGGAGCGTTGCTCTCGGGGGTTATGGATGTCTGATGCTCGCTGTAGTTGTTAACTGGTTTGTGCTGGATGGGCTGGGTGATGTCAGATTTCTCACTGTGTTTTGGGTTTGCGTAGCACATTTGAGTCTCAGTGGGAGGTCTCCTTCCCTCCCTGCCTCCTGTCCAGCCCAATGAGCCAATAACCTGAATAAACCAGGTCTGACTGCAGCCCCAGCACTTCTCTCCTTTACCCGGAAGGGTTTGCAGGCTGCAGTGTTGGATTCTTATTGGAATGGGATTTGGGGGTAATTTGTTCTGGTTTTGCTGCTTTTTATTTTAGAAATACGATAAAGAGCACCCGTGTAGTCACTGCGGAAAATGCTCCGGAGCAGTCCCCCCAAAGCCAGTGCCCTCTGTTCCCCCGGGGCGGAACGTGCCCACCGCGGCCTCGAACCGGCGGTCCCCGGGTGCGGCGCCGACCTCACCGCC